TTTTCTTCCCACTGGGTTACATTGTCCAGCCTTGATATGATGGTATGTGCCTGGTATTATTTTAGCATGTTGTTCTGTTTGGTTGTTGTTGCTTGGAGACCTGCTCTTTTCTGAGGGTAGATGGTGGGGAGGGTTGGAGCAGGAGGATAGAGAGACTGGAGGAGGGGAGGTAGGGGAAACTCCAGTTGGATGTAATACACTAGAGAAGAATAAAAAAACAAATAACTAATACACAAGAGATGAAAAAAAAACAACTAATGCAATTTCAAAACTCTAAAAGTATTCTGCATGTCACCATTAGTTCATGATATCTCAAATATCTTCCCAAGGTCAACGTGGCAACAGCAAATCACTCAGCCAGACTCTGAGAAAATACCGGATGCAGGCAATTCTTTTCTCACTTTAAAATAATTAAAGAGAAAATAAATTATTTTGAAGTTCCTCTTGAAAAACTTGGCAAGATCAAAAGGCTCGGCATGGTGGCACATGATTGTAATTTCAGCATTCAGAAGAAAGAGGTGCTTCATCTCAAGCATCAGGAAGAAAGAAGGAAAGAAAGAAAAACGAAAGAATAAAAGAAAGGAAGGAAGGAAGGAAGGAAGAAGGAAATCAGAAGAAACACAAAACTGACCCAACTAGGAAACCAGAGCTGAACTCTACGTAATAACGGTGAGCATGTGACCTTCAAACACATGCTGGATGTTAAAGTATTGGGGGCAGATTAGCATTGACTATTGATTTTTCATTGTGATGTAATCCAGGACATTCAAGTGGCAGCAATAGTTGAGTTGAAGGACAGTGCAAAAATCACTGGCGATGGTGGAGGTTAAGGGATTACATCTGCATGTTGTTGGTATAGCCAATAAAGGTTACTAGAAACAAATTATCGAGTAAGAAAATCAGAAATATAGAAATCAGAGTTCCAGAAAGATAACATAAAATGACCATGTAGCACCTAGAATAGATGACTTATTGTTCAACTGATGTCTCTGACGCTTCATGGCCTTCCCTGTGGCTTCTTTTCCATTTTCCTCAACCTTGCCATCCAAACCTCTGACCTTCCCCTTGCTACGAACAGCACTTCCACATCCTACAGTCACCATACAAAACAAAGTTGTGGTCTCAGCTCTTCTCCTATGAATTTGATCTCTTCTTTGATACTTCTTTGATATTCTTCCCTCCTCCAAAAATTAATTTTACATCACCTACCACCTAATCAGAAAACAGCAGATAATAGTAGAAAACAGGAAAAAAAGGCTTAAAAAGACATTTCACACACACAAAAAAATATCCAAGGACTATAACACACATTTGAAAGATTTTGAGTAATCACGGCATTGAGTAACTGATACCAAGACTGGCGATAGTGCTTGTTGTTGGGTGTGGGGGGCAACAGTTGGTCTCATACACACTGCTCAGAGTGGCACCAAATTTACAGAAGTCTATAGGACACTGGTGGATATAGTTACTTATGACTGAATTCACACACAACTTATGACCAAGGGAGCCTGCTTCTAAGATACAGACTTGCCAGGAATGTGATGGAAGCTTATCCTAAGCGATTTGTAGTAACAGCCAAGGTAGTATGTATAGTAACAGCCTTCAAATAGAAAAAAAAGCCACATATATGCTCTGGTGCAAATGGAGTAACTGTGCTATATTTCCTTTCTGTTAATGTTATCCTGAAATGGAGACATAACAAAGAAAGACTGTTGCTAAATACAGCATGGATGAATTAGCATCACAACCTAGGAACAAGTCAGGTACAACATGCCTATATTTGCACAAAATTCATATTTCTATAAAGTGCCAAACTGGAGGAAGTAGCTTATTTTTGTAAAATTGACAGAATTTGGGATAGGGAGGTCTATCCTTTAAATATTGGTGTATCCCTCCCCATTCACACAGTGTTAAATAATATCAACTTGTTAAATACTACCTAGTTGTTAAATAATGGTGGCATTAAGAATGGGGCATCGGATAGTAATTAAGGTACAAGGGTTTCTCCCTTATGAATGGGATTAGTGTGCACATGTGTGTGTGTGTGTGTGTGTGTGTATTTGAGCATGTACACACTCATATACATACCCATAAATATATAAACACAGCATACTCAATTTGTTTATTTTTTATGGCATATGATTTCAGGGCTGACCACTTGGTAGAATCAGCTGGAGGGTTTATCCCTGAGGAACAATGTTGCTCCTACTCTCAGCAGTTTTTAGTTGCCTATCGTTCTTTGTCTACAGTTGGTTCCCTTACAATTTTAGCCTTCCTTGTTAGCAAGCCTACTGAAAAGCAGAGAACAAGTAAGCATAGGGTGCCGGGCACCAACTGCCCCAACACAATTCTTACACCCAAGGCTCCGGGAACACTGCATATGAAAGTGTAAATGACCATAAAGAGCAAGAGGACCAGCAAATCTACTGTGAGAAAGTGTCTTCTAGAAATGACGAGGAAAGTACAGCCTTAATACCTCAACACTATGGTTGCTTAAAAGGACCTACAGAGCTATCCAATGATTTTTAAATTAATTTCAAGATACAAAATAACTCCACTACTTAGGATTTGTGATGTTGTTGATATATATGCATTTTTAAGCTACCTTTCAAAATTTGTGTATCTACTTCCCTACTACAAACTTTGTAAATTTTACTTCAAGATGTTGAAGTTTGTACTTCATAGTCGACTCATTGATTTTCATTGCTCTATTCATTGTCATTTTTGGCTGCTATCATGCTCCATTTCCAGAAACTTCCCTCTCTTTTACCTCGTTTCTTCAATCTTAACATTGATAATTTTAAGTCCCCTTCCCCCTTACAATTGTCAATTTATTTCTTGATTGACACCTTTAATTTTCTCCCTGTCTTTTTCTTCAGCTTTATAGTCACAGACCACACAGGAGAGATACATAAGTCTAATTTTAAATTAGCCTAATTTTTTCAACTCCAGTTGAGAATGAAAGCAATTATATAGCAAGAGGGTAAACATTTGTTAAAATAAATTTGATAATGGGTAGATCTAAGTCAGTCATATCACTTGTTCAGTCCCATGGCATCATTCTGTTTAGATTGGAACTGCTCATTTTTCCCTTCATTGGTTTGAATGAATGTACCATGAGAATTTGACTCGATAGACATGTTAAATGAATGGAAGCGGGTGGCATACTTAGAGACTGGTTTCAGCCACTAAATCCCTTCACAAGAATTGAATAGAAAATCTAATAAACACACTTATTTTTAAGAGTCTCCTATTTTATCTGTATTTTGAATATGTGAGCATTTTGCCTGTATATGTGCTTCAAGCACACCCGGCGACCCGGAGGCTAAACATGTGTTTTCCTGTATGTATGTATTTGAGCTTCAAGTGTGCCTTGGTGGCTCGGGGGTTAAACGAAGGCACTGGATGCCTGGGATTGGTGGCCTGGAGTCTAAACAAAAGCCATTGGATGCCTGGGATTGTTGGCTCAGAGACTAAATGAAGAATGCCCCGATTGCAGGTGCAAATGTTTTAAGTGGCCACGTGGATACTGGGAACCAAAACTTGATCTTGTGCAATAACAGCAAATGTTCTTAATCATGAAACCATCTCTCTAACTCCCTCATTTAAATCTTTAATGGGAAATAAAGCCCACATCTGAGAGATTCCCGGATTTTCATATTCAAGGAAGAGAGTAGAAATGGGGAGGGACCAGTGCTTAACAGCAGAACACGAGGCAACCACAACATCCTTCAGATACTACGTTCTTAACTCTGAGTACACGCGGTAGATGCTGCCCAGAGAAGTCAAGTAAATTTCTGGGAATCAAATAACACGGCCATGACCCAGCCAGTAACTGCTAACCGGACTGTCCAATTGCCAAGCTCATGGTCGTTCTCTGTCCCTGGCATCATTTCTATGAAGGTTAATGAGACATGCTTGCCTATGAAGAGAGCATGGCTGCTGATGACTTGCAGAACACTTTAAAACACAAGTTTTATTGGCCTCCCTTTATTTTGGTGCTTAAGATTTAATATCTAAATTAAGAAGGCATTATCTTTATATCTTTTGTAATGCACCACTTTCACAGTGATCCATCAAATCAGCTGGAAGTCCTGGTTGGAAATTCCTAGAGACCACTGAAAACGGTACTAAATTTCTTTTCATTAGTTCCATTCATTAGCTTCAATAACTACATATATTAGCTGGATCGCACATATATAGCAATCCTATAACTTATTAATGTTCAGAATAAAATTCAATTGTCACCTTTTTTAATACAAGGCTTGATTGCATAATCAAACAGAAAAGCTATTTAGGATTTTAAATATGACTTATGACTATTGAATTTTTCTCCCAGTTGATTTCTTTCTTATAGGCCAAAATTAATAAAATAATTCTTAAATCACTTACTTATATACATAAAGTCATGACATACAAATACAAATAACTTAATTTTGAATTAGTAGTATACAGGGGTAATAAACACTTTTGCTACAGACAGTGTTATAAAGCTAAAAGATTGTTATCCAAATAAAACAGAATCCTAAAAGTCACTTGAGTAAAACTCATCCTACTGATAGCTCCACATGACATACTAATAGAGCCCACATTTCCCTATCTAGAAGTAACTAGCTTGAAGTAAGAGCTGGTTTACATTTATAACAAGTTACAGGAAGACAATGTGCGGACGTGGGCTTTTTAACAGTCCTCGCGTGTCCTGAAGACTCCTTTTGCAGTCTGAAGAGTCACATCATGTATGCAAAATGTGTTCATTCTGGACCCTAGAGGCACCCATGAAGATGATGTTATTTTGAATAAGGGTTTATCCTTGATGCCATGCACACATGGCTTGAAACACAATAATCATAACAATAGAAGTAATAATATCTAAAATTTAAATTTCAGTAAAGAAAGGATTCCTAGAATAATTTAAAACATACATAAGATAATGCAGGTGGGCCACTATTGAGCAGAGGGCCCACTGGGGGGGGGGGTGAAAGGAGAGAAGAGAGATCTACCTTTGCTTGTCCAGCTTTTGTAATGGCAGGCATGTTGAAAAGCTGTCCAGTGTAGAACTGCACACCACTGAACAGGATCACTGCAATGGAGTCTCCTTCCTCCTCAATTACTTGCAGTATGTCCTCCATCCTTAAGGTCTCTTCCCCCTACGCCAAATTCAGTGCAAGTTACACAGTATGACAGTCATGAGCATGTCACTCCATATCCACAAATGTCTTTTCTACATACAGCAATGGAAGGTGATTATGCTACCCCATGCCAACGATCTTCAGAAATCTGGCAAAAGAGCAGCGCTAGGATACATTTGGCTACAGAGAAATAAAAAATGAAACGCTAAAGAGGTTTCATTTAAGTGCCACTCTGCACAATCTTGTTAGCTCCTTTGTACTTCAGTTTTCAATTCTTCACTATTTACAAACCCGTGAATTGTTTTCCAGCCATCTTTATCCAATAAAGAAAGCATGAAGTCCCAAGAAATGCCCTATAGCAAAGCTGGAGATTCATATTGCACTCAGCAAGTCAGTGGTACTTTTTCCCCCCTGAAAACTCCTGTAGACATCTTGCAGCTAGGTTTGGCCCAATCAACGTTTCAATTACTCTAAAATTTAATCATTTCCAAGCTAGTAAAGATAAAGACAAACATGAAGAAAACAAATCCAAACAAATTATCAAGGACAAAGTTTTTCTAACCTCCTCACCACAACTAATGATTGAAAATTGTCAATGATGTGAGATTCAGTCCTGCAAAGGTAACTGAAGCTGTAAGAAATCAGAGAAGCGTGAAGCATCTGTGTAGCGGGGAGCAAAGTTTAAGGTACATCTAACTCTCCACAAATCCTCTCTTGTACCAAACATGACAAAATTTTGGGCTAGTGCATACTTAATGCCTTAATATCATATAGAAAGCCATTTTAATAATCTTTTATTATCCTTCTATATAAGTTTTCAAATTTCTTGTTATTGGCCAAAGTTCCATGTTAGAAGCCTTGTATGCACAAGTAGGTATATATGCATGTGTATGTGTGTGTGTGTGTATGTGTGTCCCTGTGCAGTTTTTATTAGAAGAGTCCTAGTGTTTATATACCAAATAGTAAAAACATTAATATTGAAATCTGTTTTATTAAAACTACACTATATATATATATATATATATATATATATATATATATATATATCAGTTTGAGAATAACTAAGGAGAATGTTTTAGAAACTTGTGGAGGCCCCAAATTGTGAACCTATTCCACTTTGTCTGAAAGTCAGAGAGTTTTAGCTTGCTCAATGTTGTTGACAAAAAACTCTCACTACATATCATGACCTAGTGTGTAGTTACTTGGTCTTTTGGACATTAAGATGGCCCATACAGTTAGATACGGTCCACCCTGACCAAAGGTCAGAGAATTCAAGCATACTTCTGCTCCTTCTGAATTAGGAAGTTTGATTTAGGAAGTGGTTGCCTTCAGGATACTTGGTCTAGGGTGGGTTCACTGCCTAAACAACAGAATCTTTTTCTCATCAATTAATGGCTTGTTGTCCAAAGTAATGAAGCAAGTAACTGTTCTAGTTGTCCTCTGTATCATGTTAGAGTAGTCTTTTGCCTTCTTCCCCCTCCCCACATTGTACTTTTATGGAAAACTACAAACTGGCAGACTCAGAACTCAGGGCTCAGAACCCTAGAACTCAGCATTCTGTAATTGCTGCTGATACTATCCTATGTCTCTGTGATTATTTCTTATCTCTGTTCCTCCTACCTAACACTTTTAATCCTCATGTCCCTACCTTAGGACATATTAACCCACTACTGTGACTAGGATAATGGCAGAAGTCACCTCAAAAAGGCGGCTTACGACATGGCAGCCCAACGTGGTAGCTTACAACAGAAACTAATGTGGAATTCATCTGTCTAAAGGGTCACCATGAATCAAATAAGAAATCAAGGTTTCAGTGAGACAAACCTCTTTTTAGTGTTGATTTGAAGCTATCTGGTAATGTACATACCTGGTTAGAATGAACCCAGAAAATAAAATGCTGGTCATGTGTAACTCTGAATCTTGGTTCCTGGGTGCTATATTCATTTATGTTGGAAACTACTCATTTATATGACATGTGGAAACAGATATGTCTTACAGATGTGAGAATCTCTTATATCATTTATGCTGCATGTTGGTTACTACATACACTATTTTCCCAGACCCTCCAACTTATTGGCTTTAGAAAATTTATTATATCTTTGGTATAAGGAAAAAAAAGATACTTTGCAAAAGAACATGAGAGACAGTCTCCATACAATTTCACAGTGACCTCTAGTCTTTAATCATAATGATAACTATAATTATAAATATTATAATCCACCAGCAACTATATTTGAAGTTTAAAGTGGCACACCCAGTTATATATCCCTTTCTCACCTGCTTGACCACTATAGACTTCATTGATATTAAAAGAAAAATTCCTTGCCATGTACCTTGAAAATGAAAATAAATATACTTCCTATTTGTTTTTTTTTTTTACTTTAAACAAAAGAGTCTACTAGTAACAAATACAGAGGTCTCTGATGCTTTCTTGGAAGTTACATCAAAGCCTTGAAGATAATAAATGTCTGAGGAAAATGGAGGGAAATCAATGGACACTAAGTAGAAAGATAATGGAGATTTATCTCTTTCTCAGATACCTCTCTTGGCATTATCATCCTCATGCTTTTCTCGACATCAAGTCCATGCAGTTGAATCTGTGACTCAATAGCATACTGAAAAAGAAAGCAATTATATTCAGTAAATTTAGTTCAAAGCACAGCAGTCCATGCACAAAGCTCCTCTAAAACAAATAATAAAATAACAGTGAAACCATATCATTCTGTTAAACCACATGTCAAAGGTAAAGTGAATGGCTACATCAGAGAGGTCCTTCTTAATGTAAGGAAGGAGGAATTGGGGCATTTGTTGAAGTATCAAATACTAAAGGTGATCACAAGTGCAGACTAACTGTTGGATATAGGAGATGCTACAGTGAAATTCATGTAGTGAAACTCACAACTGGGAGGAGAGTTAGAAGGGCTGGGCTTGAGTGAGGATACACTAGCAGCTCACCATAGGAAGAGTCAGGTAGCAGAGTCAAATCACATGGAAACTTGAGGGAGAAAAGAAGATATGAACGAGGCCAAATAACTAAGAGGAACTGGGATTCTCTTCAAGGTAGCAAGGTCTTAATCTTTTTTTTTTTTTCCAAAATAACCATTTGTTGGCTTAATAGATTACATGCTTTAAAATTACAAGGTGTAGTATAATAAAATAACAAAAAGACTGAAGTGAAGTTTCTTTAAATCTAAATGAAAAGGTTTCATCTGTGTATGGATCTGGAAGAACCATTATCAGACAGCTTCAAATCAACACGAACGAGAGGTTTGTCTCACTGAAACCTTGATTTCTTATTTGATTAAGTGAGCTACAAGAAATCCTTTAATCTTTTCTCTGTGTTGGGATGTATTTATATGTACATTTTCCTGTGTGTGTTCAGATGCACATATAAGAACCATTGGTTAATGCCAATGTAACTTTCCTGATCTCTACCTAGTTTTTTTGAGGCAGGGTCTCTCATTGAAACTGGATGTTCTTGACAAGATAGACAGGGGATCCAGCAAGCCTCAGACATCCTCCTGTCTCTTTCGTCTCCTGCTCTGGGACTACAGGCCCACACAGCCATATTCAGCCTTTTTCGTGAGTGGTAGATATCCCAGTTTAGGTCCTTTTGCCTGAGCAGCAATCTCTTTAAGACTTAACCATCTCCCTGCACCAACTCACCCTTTAATATTTTTTTCATGGAAAGAAATCAATAACTGTTGCTAGCATACTATGACAAAAGAGATGCAAATACAAGTTCATATGACAACTCAACATTGCTAAAGGGTTAAGCAGTGGAGTTTGTATTGATTTGATTTTATGAAATAAAACAGCAACAGGAATTAATAAAACATTTATAACCACACTTGATTTAGGGAATGATTTGCTCAACATCTTTAAAAAGACTAATAAATCAATGTCCCCATTCAGTCCTTTCCTTCCAGAACACATGTTTTGCTTGAACGAAAGAAATAAATCGACTATCTGGAAAAATACTGTAAATCAAAAGCACTTGACAGTTCTTTTTTAGTCCGCTTACTTGGAAATGACTAGAGAATAAACATTCAAGTCTGGAAAATGATATGTCCTGCTAGTAAGAGTAGAAAGAACATAAATATAATTTGAAGAAATTCTTACATGATCAGAAGGGAAGGCTTTGGCTTCTAGAAGAATCTTGTGCCGCTTTGGTGTGGGTTTAAAGAATGATAACTACAATGAGAGAGAGAGTTATTGAGAAGCATTAGTGCACAATTTACTCATTTGCTCCTTTATGCCACACTTTCATTTTGTAAACTCCAACATTCTAAAGACATTAATTAATTAAACATCTAAGGTATCTGACAGGGGTTCCTTTCCAATTAGCCTAGTTTTCAATGAGTTATGGATATGGTGGAGATATTGTCTCATTACACTTATCAATGGAAAGCAAACTCAGAGGAAAATGTGAACCAGATAAAAATATATTCTAAGGCTTTACCTAAATGTTAATTGAAAATTTATCTTCTTAAGCATTTAAAGGTAATTTCTCTAGAGTGAGGCTGAAATAGCTTGTTCTATGCTTGTCTTATTTACATATCTTACACTGCCAATTTGGTTCCCTTTATCACTGTTCCATCTTGTCTGGAGGTTTGCTTTATGGCATTTTGGATTAGGTCCAGCCAAGCATGCCTCTGCCCCCTCAGGCTACCCCTGTCCATCTTAGAGGCACCAGCCATAAGCACATTACTGGTTCACTGGCCCTTTCATTTCTCCATGAAGTCCCTGAACAATAAGCTTGGCACAGATTCTAATACAGATGACAACATGTTTTAACAGTATGCTCCTTATGGTCCAGGGTGCTAAATTAATTTTCACGTGGTACCTCATTGAGTTCTGTACATCTATGAGGAAGACGCAGTTGTCTTCATTGTTACAAAGGGAAACACTATTTCTGAGAGACACTGAGAACCTTGACTAACATTAAAGAGACACTAAGTAATTAGCTGGAAGTCAAAAGTAAGGATGTATGAACTTTTAGACACGATTCAAAAACATACTTACATGTTTTCATCAGAATGTAACATTTATTTTGTTTTCCTCTCTCTCTCTCTCTCTCTCTCTCTCTCTCTCTCTCTCTCTGTATGAATAAATAAACCCCTAAGGCACTTAGTCTGTGATGGTTTGTCAAGCAACTCTTTTGTCTTGATAACTATGACCAGTCACACTGTGATAACGGTGAGACACATTTGGCAGAGTTGACTTCATCTACCAAAGATGTGCTTTACTTTGATGTTAGAAACAACTAGCTTGTTTTTGTTTTCATCATAGGGAGTCATCCTTTCTGAGAGGCTTTGAGCTAGCCAGTGACGGTCCTCACTGAGCAACTTTCTCTTTTAAGTTCTATTACTATTTTCCTCTGTTCTCTAGAGAACTCATTACTCTAAAGCTCTTTGTAAGAAATAACTCTTTCATGATTGAGAAGGAAACATGAGATCATGGTCTAGAATGCTTTGGTGAAAATATAGACCATCTCACACGTTAATAAATAAATTGGAGACTTACTTATGAATTTAAAATAGAAACATTTCAGATTTTGTAAATGAGAGAACTCAAAACACAGATGTTAAAGAAATCTTACCAGTAGGAGATGTAAATTAACAGTCAAAGCATTCATTAGAACTATTTCTTTCTCGTGGGCTCCTGGAAAATAATCATCAAAGATGCATCATATTTGAGGCTTTTCTTGTTGGTTTGGAATGTAGTTGGAAAATAAGGCTGGAGCTTTACTTGAGCATATCAATGTTATTAGAGACAATAGTATATTGATGTGTCATTATGAAAATGAGGGGTCCCCATCTGCCCCACTTACCAAATTATATAAATAGATACATACATGTGTACAGTTAAAAAATCAAACCCCTCTTTTGATGTTATGAATAAGAACGGCAAATTAATAATCATTTTCTCTGACAGTGGTTTATCATATTATTAATTTGCAAAATTTCCTGAACAGTACTTTTTATGTGTGTAAGTTTTGAAAATAAACTTAAAATGATATTAGGATTAATCATATATTTAACGTTGGTCATTCCTGACATCAAACTAAAGCTCACCTTTAGTAAGAGAAGTCAACTCCGCCAAACATATCTCACTGTTACTACAATGAGATTGGTCATGTTTGTCAAGAGAAAAGAGCTGCATGACAAAATGCCATACCTTAAATATTTGCCCGTCCATAGGGATGAAAAGAGAATAGAAATGTGTACTGTCTAATGAAAGCATATGCAAAATTCAGATATTTATTACCTACACACCATGGGACCTGACTTCCAAGGATGGAGAACTGGAAGTAGATGGGAGACAGAGCCTACACTTGGGATGTGACAACCCAAGAATACTTCACACCTTCTGTGGTTCAACTTTCCAGAAAACTAGGCCTATTTAAGAAGAATGATTTCTTCACCAATACCGAAGAAATGATCATCAAAGAGTTCATAAAGTTTTTAGAGAAAATATATATTTTTTATTATTTATTAATTTATTAATTATTTATTAAAGATTTCTGCCTCTTCCCCGCCACTGCCTCCCATTTCCCTCCCCCTCCCCCGGTCAAGTCCCCCTCCCTCGTCAGCCGAAAGAGCAATCAGGGTTCCCACAAATGGACAGAAATAGAAAACACTATCCTGAGTGAGGAAAATATATAATTCTTGTCATACACTGTTTATTCACAGATATAGAACTCTTGTAGAGTTCCCTTTACAAACACAGAAGTCAATGTGATAATAAGTCCAATAATTTCTAGGGTAAGTTGACTTGAAGTGAGGCCACTGGAAATGAGTGTTTAACTAATGAATTCTTAATCAACATAGCTATTCAAGGAGGAACCTGTATTTTCCTTTGGTCAGAGGCTACTTGTATTTGCTATCTGGATTTCTTTTTCGTTGTACAATTAGTGGAGAGGTGGTGGGCATTAAAAACATGCCTGGTCATCTTAAGGAGAGTTAGGTTTGAAGCCAAGTGGCCATAAAAATAAATCTCCATCTACATGCCTACACAGGGTAAATGGACATAGTATGCTTATATCACATATAATGGTATGTGTCTTCTCCTACATATAACATACCTTTTGAAATGTGGTATTAAAATAAATATTATTAGCTCTATTCTAGCTGTTTCTCTATACTGCAGTATAACTTATTTTTACTGTTGCTTCTGAGATAAAACCCTAACTAACAGCTTGATTCTCTGTTATTTATAAGTATTTATTGTGAAAACCATTTTTTAAAAAAGTTTGATGCAGAAGACAGAAGGAGTAAAGAAAGATAACAATACTGCAAGAAAACAGAATTAATGGGGGAAAGCATTTAAAAACAAATAAAAATGATAAGAAAACACAGTAGTTGTTAGAAGAAAACAAAGAAACGGAAAAGACTGAAGAGCTTTTATGTAGAAACCCAGACATTAATTTTTGCTTAAGCACTACATATTGATTAAGACTTCTTTCCATCAGTTACTAGATGAAAAAACGAAAAAAGAAAAAAAAGACTACCATGTTCTGGGAAACTGGGTCTGTCACATGCTACATAATCTTTTTATTGGACCTAAAATATTTCTGGCATGGGCCAGTCTTGACACCACAAACATAGCCACCCCAGATGCACTGTTCTGAACCAATCCTGGCTTTCTCATGGCATTTCTCCCTCACTTCCAAGGGCATGCTCATTCTTTAACCAATTCTTTGCCAACAGTCCCTCACTACTTTGAATGATTACTTATCCTCACATAATTATCCCAACATTGAGTATTGCATATGAAATTCACCAGAGCACTTCACTGAATGCCACCCTAACCTACTGCTGAGCCCTGCCCAAAGACAGGATCCATTTATTTAAGTTGCAAATGTGCATACTCAGGTACACCCAGGAGGCATGCTAGAATTAAAGTCTTGAAACACTAACAGAAATGTTTACTGTGAGTATAACTAGAGATACTTAAGAATAATTTATTCTTAACATCACAGCAATGCCAACTGAACTAATTTTTACTTTATTTTCAAAAGGAAGTTTACCTAATTGACCTCATGGGTTCAAGTTGTACCTCTGAAAAAATGTTCTCCCACAATATCTCAATATTATCTAAGAGATAAATTGTTAATGTTAAATGAAACTCTTTCAAGTTGCCTCTCCTTGTTCCCCTTACTGTCCTAAGAGCCTTCTTTGAATTAATAAAAAAACATCATGACCTAAAATTATTCAGAACACAGTTTTTTAGAAGCTTCCTGAAAGCTTAAAACTTGGAAGGCTCTTCCCCTTAGGGGACCACCTGTGATTTTTCTTTGATAAATGTCAGAATAGGAGTTGCTTCATCAGATGTGAGTGTTTCCTGCTTGCTTTTGGCAGCTAAATACAAGCACTGTCTTCTCACATTGAATTCTAGCAAGGTAATATTTATGGGGCCATTACTATGCGCTGATGCTTTTTAATTTCAGAATTGTCTCAACGGCCGCTCCTTGGAGTCTAAAGTGAGCGGAACCATCACAGGCTCTGTTCAGGAAGTGCACCGACAGTTTGAAATCTGCAACTTGTGTTATTTCACACAGCCTTCTTAGCAACGAGATGAGGAACCGATTATGGGTTTCCATCTTTATATCAAGATGGAAACTGATATTCAAATAGAACTATCTCAAAGTCTCACAAATATGGTTTTGCTGTTGTTCAGAATGATATTCGGAAGCACCGCTTGTAAGACATTCCCCATAAATCAAATATGGAAGAGCCAGGTTCATAACCAGTTTCCTTCTTTGTCTCTCTAATCTCAAAATAATTTCAAAGTATAGCAAGCTGAGAAGAGCAAGTCCCCAAGCTGCTTACCATCTGGTAAGAGAGTCCACTCATACTGTCATATCATCCTTTCTCTTCTTTATTAAGCAGATGCAAATGCTATTGTGCATTTGATGTCAGGATTATAATTAGGCAAAGCCCCAAGGAAATTTGTCTAGTTACAAATTCCTAGGGCCCCTAGAGATGGCCAGGGCATGGAAGAGGGTCTGGGAGAGTTGAAGTGGATCACCCATGGATCATTGCTCCTCTTATGCTCAACCACAAGTTTCAGAAAGGAAATAGATTAATTTTACATTTAAAAAAGATCAAATGCTTGTATCTGGCTCTTGGTGATCTTTATGTATCCAGGGGAAGTAGACTTAATAACGATACTGATAATCTTCTCCAGCACATCTATTTCTAGCATCTTGATAATATGACACTAATTATAAGGGAAAGCTACTCCATGTTCCATGTGCTGTGGAATTGTTGGCTTTATATAAAATGTTTTATTAATATGTTTTCTTCATATCTAAAATTAAATTTTTTTATGTCTGAATAAATATGGCTGTTCACTCTCTTTCTCTTCCTGTCCACTCTACATATCAATGTGTATACATAATAACCACCACTGTCCTCTTATTGCTTGCTTTTGAAGAGTCTCATGCTCATTCAAAGACTATGTTTTCAAGTAACTAGAAGATCCAACAATGATCAGAATAAGACAACTCTGTCCGCTTATGACATAGTTAGCAATGAAAAGTAACCTGACTTTTGCTACACTTCATTTTTTTACATTATTTTATGATTTTAAGTCATACCATCTTCTGGAGACAGTTTGAAGCTTTTAATATACAACATAAAGAATAACAAAATTTGCAATAAATCTGGAAGCATGGAAAAGTAATAGAGTGTTTGTCTACTGTAGGCAAGGTCCTGAGTTCCATCTGAGGATATGTACACACTCACATGCATGCACACATGCATGCACACACGAGAGAGAGAGAGAGAGAGAGAGAGAGAGAGAGAGAACAATGCAGTAGAATATGTAATATGTATAGAAGAAACAATATTTTGAAGTTATTACATTCAATTTGGATATTTTTTCCTCTTTGAACCTCTTTGTAACCAAGATAAAAGGAAATTCTGTATGGTTTTTCCTTGACAAACACAATAAAAAACTGTAAAATATAAATCCATTGATTAAATCAAAACCCTCACATTGTGTTTCCAATAAAAAAGGTCAGAAAGAAAAATAAAATCACTTTTTCATTTCAAGTCAGCCAAGAGAAACCAATTTCTTACCTAACCTTAAAAACCAGGACCAGAGAGTTAGTCAGAGTTCCAAATGGGCCACTTTTAATTGGCACACTACCCTTCCCTGTGCCTTAGTTCCTTTACAGGACAGGTAACCCACAGACACCTGATGTAAGCAATGTGTCTCCCTGTCCTTCCTTGAAAGGAAACTAAGTTTACCATTATCTGTTTTCCCTTTCTGTCTTGGGTTTTCCTTTGGTTCTTTTCTATGGATAAAACCACACTCCTTTTCTAAACTCATAGGGATCCCTACTCTGGTGTTGTGTAGCAATTCCCCTGGTTTGCTTGTTTCTGAGGTTAGTGACTGAACCCAGGGCCTAGATTATGCTGGACAAGCACTCTGTTACTGAGTTAAGTTCCCAAGTCCCTGCAACAATTTCCTCTGAATTCAAACATTCCATCCCTGAGGGAAGTTCCTTCAAATTTGGGAAATACTCAAAAAAAGTTGAGGACCTAATGAGGCAACATATAGGTGCCATAAAAGTCCCTACCACTTACCAGATACCCAATGCCTTCCCCCTGAAAATTAATAGGCAGAAAGAATTACTGAGGAGAGCATACTTG